GAGAAATACAAAGGATTGAGAAGAAGGGATAAAACTTGCTGACCCCTTTTGGATTTTTCCATGTTTTAGTGCTTTTATTGCTTAAAGACTCAATTTTTTAGTTGTCACGGTGGCTGCTTTGCCAATTTTTTTGATCTGGCTGGCAGCTGAGAAATTCAAAAAAATGGGAAAAAGGATAATCTTGCTGACCCCTTTTGGATTTTTCATGTTTTACTGATTGAGTCAATTTTTAGTTGTGATGATGTCCACTTTACCATTTTTTGATCTGGATTGCAGCTGAGAAATTCAAAGAAATGGGAAAAAGAATAGAACTTGCTGACTCCCTTAGGATTTTTCCATGTTTCATTGCTTAAAGAGTTGATTTTTAAATATCATGATGGCTGCGTTACCATTTTTTTTGATCTGGATGGTAGCTGAGAAATACAAAGGGATGGGGAAAAGGATAAAATTTGTTGACCCCTTTTGGATTTTTTCATGTTTCACTGCTAAAAGGGTCAAACTTGAGTTGTTAGGATAGCCACTTAATCATTTAAAAATCTGGATAGCAGCTGAGTAGTACAAAAAATGGGAAATAATAATAAAACTACTTGCTGACCTTTTTTGAAAATTTTCATGTTTCACAGCTTTCATTGCTCAAAGGGTCAAACTTTAGTTCTTATATGCCCACTTCTCTATTTTTCTGATCTGAATGCCAGCGGAGTACCCAAAATCGGAAAGAACAAACTTGTTGACTCCTTTTGATTTTTCCTATGTTTCACTACTTCCATAGCTCAATGAGCCATATTTTATTGGCTTCCAGTCTACCTTTTTGTTAATCTGTATGACAGCTGAAAGGGGGAAGAACTTAACTTGTTGACCCTTTTCTGGATTTTCCCTTGTATACCTTCTTTCTTAGCTCAAATGATCCAACTTTTATTTATCGTTGTACCCAATTAAACATTTTTTATTGAATGACAGCTGATAATCACAAAGTAATTTAAAAATACAAAAGCTTGTTGAGCCTTTTTGTGTTTTCCCTAGTTTCACTGCTTTCATAGCTCAGATGGTCAAATATTTGTATGTCATCACCCAATTTTCCATGTTTCTTTTTCATTTGATTAAGAAAATGAAGGTTTTTGCAATGTATAATTGTAATATTATTGAGTATTCTTGGCACCTTCTAGACGATGGATAAGTTAGGAATGAAAAGGAAATGCAGAAAATGACATTTGGATCATGACAAATGTTTAAAAAATCTGCATTCTTGGCCTTCTCTTGCTACTATAATAATGGTTGTTTTAAAACTACTTCTGTAAGGGCAAGAGTAAGTGAAGGAAACCAAGTTCCTGGAATTTCTATTGCTTACAAGGATTTGTATGCAGAAATTCCACATAAAATTTTTTCATAAGAAAGAGAAAAACTTTATATACATAGCTCATTTATTATATGCCATTTTTAAACAATACAACAAGGTGATAAATGATTCTTTAGGCTTCACTGTCAAAGATGATGTCTCAGTGTTGTTGTTGTCCCTGTTATGGAGTGGAAAAAGGCTCAAACTTTAGTATGATCTTCTTCTTCAGGAACCACTACTCTCAATCGTTTCCCTGTTTAGTGTACATACTTTCTCCAAGCAAATTTTTAACAGATTTTCTTGGTATGCTTACATATTAGGAGGCATAGTTGCTTGATCCTCTGTGGGCTCCTGTCCATGGCATTTTTCTACTCAAGAATTGTCACACTATTAGCTGTTTTTACACCTTTTAGCAATATTTAGCTTGCTATTGTGGTCTTTAACCAATTGGTGCTTAATGTAAAAAAGAGAAAAATGCTAATATGATGTCACTGTAACTATCTCAATCTCCATCATAATAGATGAAAGGGTGTTAATGGAACTTGTGCAGAATTTCTTAAGTTTGTATGTACAATTGGCCTTTGTCTTGACACTTATCTACTTAAATGATTATACTGGAAGTACTTTTGTTTCTTTCACTAATGATTTCAGAAGTTATTCAATGTCTGTATTGCTCGACTTCTTGAAGAGTTTAGTATATTCTTATTGCTATATTTAGTGTTACCAGATGTTAATTTCTTGACGTATATTGATGCCGGTAAAAGCCTTTAAGCATGTCGGTGCACTTGTTGAAAAGCCAAAAAAAATAAATTCATTTTTCATTTGACATTAACTTGATTTCTCTTGTAGGATGATGATAATTTTGATGCCCCAAGGCATCAAAGTAATAGAAATGGAGATGTTGAAATGGGAATACAAATACCAATGAATTCCGGGGAGCTAGGCCTTGATGATTTCTTTAAAAAGGTTTTTGGATGATCTTTTTACTGTTCTTGCATTGGAATAATAATACTATGACTGTCCCATTCATCTCCCTCTCCTTCAATTACTTTCCTGCTGCACATTTTGAAGTTGATCTCATGAAGGTTTCTCACTTCCTTCATTTCTTGTCCCTACTTTATTTGTTTGCTAGGTTCAACAAATTGAGAAACAGTATGGAAGACTGAACGAACTACTCCAGAAGCTTCAGGTATAAATATCTTTCTTTTTTTCTTCTGACAACTTTTTCTTAAGAAGGTATTTGCAATAGAATCCTGCAACGGAATTGCACCTAGTTTCCTTGAAAGTGTATAAGAGTACTTCAGAATTTTTGACTTTTTAAAATTAAATTTTCCCGATCTTTACCTTGTTAATGGATATACAAG